ACCGCGCTGCACCTTTGGTTGGTAACGCACAGGATTACAACCATCGCTAAAGTTAGTGCGGCGACCATCATGTTCCATTTTTACACCCTGTGACAGCACACGGGGAATTTTGGATACAGTCAACAACAGAAATACTCAAAGACATGAGCAGAATAGCTAGTGTGATATTATAACATATACACACACCACACACACAAAGAGTGAAGACAACTGATTCATACAAATGTGCCACTCATCATTGAGGACTCACTGCGCACTACTACACTATATACTGAACATCTTTTGGCATGTTTTAAGTTGGCTTTTTTTGCTTTGTCGGTTATCTGTCTATATCTTTGCCTGTCAACAGGCAGAGGTCACACTACTTGCCACAGACTGATCGGATATGACATGCATGATCTTGAGCTCTTTTTGTTGCAGAACTATCACAGATACTGTAGGGTTTCGACAAATCACAATCTAGTATTTAACACAGATGGGTAAAAGTGAAAACACGTGGTTCAGAGTAAGTGTTTGGTAGTGATGGGCTTGGCAGTTCTTTTAGATGTACTGAATCACTAGAATCAGTTCACTAAATAGATTCGTTCAAAAAATTCGTTCAACAAATCACTGAATCATGTAGCGCTTAGCGGAAGAAGCCTGTGACTCCGACCTCCTGAACTGATACACAGTTGAACAGTTCAGGATTCGGTTCAATTCACAGCTTCTAGAACTGGGAGACAAGAGTGTTTGGCTGTGCTGCTTTGGCAAACAGGTTTGTAAAAATGAACTTGTTTTTAAGTCATGATGTTTTAAGTGTACTGTCCTATGATATGCTATTTATCAGGTCTGCTCGGTAAGTTGGGGTTAGTGAGTGATTCGTTCACTGAACATTTAGAAGAATTCACACTGAACATGAATCATTTCCTCGCAAACCGCTGCAGTGATAGGATGCTGCAGGTTTAATGCACTACTTGTTACATGCTGTGTCCTATTGTATGCAAGTTGTTGTGGTGGCAATTTATCAGTTAAGAAAAAAAAGGTAGTTTTGTCCAACAAAAATGATTCCAGAGAGTGTAGTTCAATGCGTGATTCATTCACCAAGTGATTCAGATGTCGGTGCATGCAGTTCCTTGTTCGCCGGCTGCTCGAATGGCAATGCTGTTCCTCACTTCAGCTCAACTGAAGCGAGAAACGAACGAATCACTCGAGGAAGTGATTCGTTCAATACGTTCACTTAAAAGATTTGTTTCTTTTGAATGAATCGTTCGCGAACGAAACAACACTAGTATTTGGGCATAATAGCTTTTACAGCAGCTGCTTTTAAAAAAAATTTTTTTAGATGGATCTATTTTACTGTTATAAAACATGAACTGCTGCTTTCTCTGCCTCTATAATATTAACTTTTTAAGTAAACAACATATTCTTGCCACTGTATCTTCATCATTCCTGCAGCTTTTTTAAGAAAATAAGCGGCAAAATCTGCGTCATCTTTTACATCCTACACAATACTAGCTGTTCAAGACTTATTTGTAAATTCACATTAATGTAAGATTAAGGTTATGAATTTGTTGAATCAGAAGAACAGCTGACTGAACTGACAGGCAGGCACACAGCAGCTGTTGTGAGGAGGTTAAAGGCCTGGCTCAACTCCACCTCATTTGTGCGTAGATGTTTGAGAAGTACTTTGGAAGGATATGTGAAAGTTTTCTTGGATGAAAACTAAAAAGATCAACACAGAGAGAGAGGGGCAGGCAGGGTGATTTCACCTTAGATCGAACAGCTTTTTCTAAATGTAACATTTTTGCTCATCTCCTAAAGCGACGTGGTGGAAAAAACCGAAAAACTAAAGATGTGACTTTGAAACCAAAAGGAGAAGACAAACAGGAACATTAAAGTGAGCTGGCAGATTTTTGGGGTGTGTGAAGAGGACCAGAGAATATTATTAATACCATTAGACATGGGTGCGGCACAGCAGCCCAACACAGAGAAAAGGGGGAGACAGAGAGGGAGGGAGAGGGGGATCAGTACCAAAAACACCCATCTGCTTTCTTTCCCATTCTCTCTCCCTCTCTCTTTGTCTCTACCTCCTCCTATTCTCCCCCTTTGTCTCTTCACCTCTCCCTCTCTCTTTACTCCCAGTCTCCTTCCCAAACACAGCCCTGACCCCCCAGGACCGTTAATCCACCACACAGCCTCGTTTATCCATGATTTTGTGCTTTCTTTTTTAACTGATACGCACCCACAGAGACGCAGAGAGACACAGAGCCTGGTTGGTGTGTGAAGTCAAATCTCTCATATCGCCTCCCTCCACACATACACTCCCTCACATCTCGCTGTCTTCCTTTCTTTTCATTGCGTTGAGACTTCAAACACTTGTTAAGTGACTCATGTACTTCAAAAGGGGAAGTACTAGTTTAAAGCAAAGTGAGTCGGCCTCCTGTGGCGCTGCCATTTTAGTCAAATATGCTCTAAAATGTAGTCATGCTGCCTTGAATTACTTGTGTTTTTATGAATGATCTAAGCGTCCTACTGTGGCGCTCCATGGCAGCTTTTCTGGATAATATTATGGAAGTTATACTGAGGAAAACAACCACTAATGAGAACCAAAATTAAGTGTGTACTCAGGAGAACATTAACTTCAGCTGTGTAAGAGATTCTTGGCCTTTCTGATATGAATTTACAGTCTTAAAGAAAACAGCCTGTCCCCTGAGAAACAGGCTGTTTGACGTGTTCATACTCCACTAAAACTTCAGAAAAACTGCATCACAACTGAAACCGAGACTAATATTTTAATCAGCTCCAGCACAGATCACAAGTGTGATTTTCACACTGGTGACATTTTTAAACCATTAAGATTCTGCACAAAGCATGTCAACAGTCTGGCTCTACTTAGTTATCGTTTGTCCAGTGTGAAGAAAGACACTTTAATTTCATATATTTGCCAACTCAGAGGCCTAACATAAGGTAGAGGGAGCTGATCTCAGTCAGTACATTTATATGAAGTTAAAAAATCTATTTGTTGCATTAGTCTTTTAAAACACATACAGATACATATATCAAGTTGAATTTAATATAGTCGGGTAATGTGGTTAGGGATGGGTTTTCTCTTATCTCCTTACCACTGAGCATTTTTTGGTCTAAAAGAGGTCTAATAGACGTCTAAATGTAGTCTAGACAACCACAGGTCTAAAAATGAAAGTTATTTAGATGTCTAAATTTCAACCAAGTTTAGACTAAATCTAAATCTGGGCTATATCTGTACTACACTGTATATTGCTCTACGGCTATCATAATTATTTTGATTAAGTATTTGGAGATCAGTTATGCAACTCACAAATGCTTTTTGAAATAAATAGTTTTTAAATAATGATGATGAAAAACTAGATGTCTGATAGCCGTCTATTGCTCAGTGGGTTGTATTCACCTAAAATAGACCGAAACATTTTGCACATGCTTTAGTTGGTACACTACACTTTGTAAACTGCATAATGGCAAAGAAAGAAGCTTGGTTTTACTAAAACTTCAACAGATGAAGACGGTAAACAAAGAGCACAAAGCTGTCATTTCTGACCATAGAAAGAAAAAGAGCTGTAGAGTTGTTGTGTTTTTACCCTTCAACATTTAACCTGTTAGCCTCATGCTAACTTGCTTGGGATTTGGTCCAATAATCACTAGCCGAAACGGGGCACTAACACCTCCCATAGCAGAAGGGAACATACTTTTGTCAATAAATCAGCTTTTGCCAAAGCAGCAACCTCTTGAGAAATGAAGCAGATGCAGAAGTGCTCAAAATGTAGTTCCTCGAGAGCCTGCTTGAGACTGGCTGCAGAGGCACCAGAAACTACTGACACACTGAGCCAAAATAATTAAAAAAAAAAACATTTAGCACCAAAATTACTCAGTTCAAAGCCTGGTTCAAAAATGTTTTTGATCTGAATAGCTCAGGGCTCCCGTGGCAGCGATGCTTACTGGAAGATAATTTTGTTGTAACATGTTCGTTCCAAGTTAATAAGGTTACAACAATATCGAATTAGAAGTTGACTTAACATTTAAACGGATCATTAAAATTATCTCAGTGTGCGTAAATTCACTGTGCCGTAGATCTTTCCTAAAAATAAATCAGTCAGCCATGCTGCTGCTTTGGTCCTGTACGATGACGAACTGATGAGTCTGACTGATCCTGACTGATTTTCTATGATGCCACAAAACTGTTCTAGTACAGGAGCACAAAATATTCAAGCTGCTTTCAGGAACTTTTGGTTTGTAAAGATATAAATGCCCTCTGGGGACCAAGTGACACCTCACAATACTTGTCCTGTAAAAGAGAAAAAAAGTGATTTCAAGACCACTCTTTTAAGAGTGACATAGATCACATACTGTGGGAATTTGCCGTGAAGAAAATACCAAATGGATGTTTTTTAAGCCTGCCGTCAACCATTTGGTCCGGCACTTCCTCACAGCACTTTCCAGCGTTCATTAAGGAATTTCGTGAAATTACAAGCCTTGTTTCTCATGGTCTGGTTTACTTTTAAAAGTCACAGATAGGCATCAGTTTCATAAGCCCTAACCCTTCAAGTATAAGTCCCATGTTTGTCTCATTCACTCCTTTGAGCAGCAGTTTCAGGTGAACTTATACTGTTTACTTAATTGTACTAACTGTAAAGGCAGCTCAAAACATTAGAGAAGATGACAGCTACCTACATGTCCTGTCATACAAAGAAGTGCAAAAAGGGTTGAAAAGCTGAGAGGGAAAATAAACAGAATTTCGGGATACTTTGTAGCCATTTCACATGATTAATTGACATTTTAAGACATGTGTAACCCCTGCATTATGTTTTAAAAAGGTGAACTGGCATGACTCAGAAATGGTTCGGTGTTTCATTCTCATCATTATTTTCCTGCACCAGAAAAACGCCTCTGCTTCTGTGCAGAGACTGAAGAATTTTCGGGAGGAAGGTCTATAAATAGAAACTAAACTTTTCATCTTGCAAGAAGAGGACTTATTGTGCTTTGCCTAAGAACATGAGAGAGAGAGAGAGAGAGAGGAGGGAGGGAGGGAGGTGTGTTTACTCACGGCTATGTGACGCCTCCAGTGTCAGGTGACTTACAGGAAAGAAGAGGAAAGAAGTTGTTGTTCTCGCCCTCTCTCTCTCTCTCGTTCTCTCTCTCTTTCTCCTCTTTCTTTTGAGCTCTTTCTGTTTTTTTCTCGTTTCATAACTTCTGATGTTTTTCTCTGCCGACTGACTTCATCAGCAGAAAACTTGATCGGAGACTTAATGTCAAAAACAAACAAAAGTTATTGTCACCAAATCAAATTAGAAACTGAATTATTGGATTTGAAATCAGTCAGAAGAATTTAAGAGTTTAAATTGAATTGAGGAAGTTTTAGTCAATATTAATGGACTGCTGTATGTTTTTATGGTGTTTCATTAAATGTGTATGTATGCATGTGTGTAAGTGTGTGAATGTATATCTATAACAGACTGGTGAGTGTGACATATTCCTTCAGGACAACTCACTGATAGTCGAGCAGTAGATGGACACAGAAAACTCAGTTTATCAGGAAAAAGGAGAATCATTTATAGAACTCACCTCCCACAGTTTACTGTTTGATTGTGTGACGGTGCCGATAAATGATAAATTATTATGGTCAGATATCAGGTGACACATGACAAGATAATGTCTTTATAAAGTTGTGAAACTTTCAATTTTACAGCCAGACAAATAAAAAAATTAACAAAAAAGGATTTTTTTTTTAAATTTTCTTGTCATGCACTTTTATAAAAAAAAAAGATGAGGGTGAAGTCTTCATGTGGAGAATAAAACCAAATTTTAGTGCGAGTGCCAACAACAGCAGAATGTAAATCACAGGAACACACTTGCCTGCTGGTTTTGAACACAGTAAAGTGTTTTCATGTAAATTAATATTAAAATACTGGCAGCAGTGAAACCAGTCAATGAAATGTTGGCTCAACCTAGTTTTCAACAAACTTAGCATAAGGCAAATAAGTTTCCTAATGGACACGTAATGTCATGACCACCAGTGCAACCATCACCGTCACCCACTGCACTCAAACTGGCACGACTGAAAACTCGCCTTCATCCACTGCGTAAAACAAGAGGCTGAATCAATGTGCTTGAATACAGAGCAGCATGGACCAGGCTGGTGATGACACTTTAAACACTTTTATCCCTCATTAGGAAATTATCATGCTCGGTGCACGTTAACTCTTTATGTCCCAGACAGTTTACATGCACTGAGCAAAAATCTAATCATTGACAGGAGCGTGCCTGCCTTTGTTGTGGTATGCTCCCTTAAAGCTCACTGCTAAAGGGTCATATCAAAACAGTCAGCAAAATGTTTCCGCAAGAAGCTAACGGGACACCAAACAATGAAAACACTTGTCATCTTTAAAGCCCTGTACCGTTAGTTTGTGTGACGGTAAAACGTTGTCTTTTTTATCAATCAATAAATCAGTCTGAATACCCGAATCTACCCCAACCTAACCCCTCATTCCCACCTTGTGAACAGATACATGTATTAAAATGCATTAACTTGAAAAGGGCTCGATTTCATAGAAACAGGAATGAGCCTTGAATATAGATGAGAAAATTGATCCCCAACCGCGTTATCCAGGTATGTTAGTTTGACTGAGTTCAGCGGAGTGGGATTTCAGTCAGACTAGTGTGTTAACATGTTTTTAAAAGTCCAGTTTCAATCGAACTGAGGCAATTAATTGGCTATTTTTAACAACAGGTAAATGTGTGACTGATTGGGATTGAACCGGAGTTTATCTCTCATTATTAACCCGAAAGTAGACAAGTTTATACAACCACTTTTTGCAGCTCTGATTACAACCATTCAATGTCTTCTCTTTAAATGGGGCACGATCTGTTCTGATCTGCTGTTAGTCTAGCACCTATTATGTGGATTAGCAGCTTTTGTGATTGTTGTCTTGGTTTAAACTGAAAACAAATGTCCGTTTTGCGGCGCCGTGTTGCTCCAAAATCATTTTGTGTGATCGGAAGACTCACAAGACACACAAAAAAAACAACAATACGCAGAACACAATGTGCAAAAATACAATTGGCATGTGTGCATATATGGATAAAAACCAAAGGAATACGCCATCCTTATCTCTACTGAAAATCCAATCAGCGGTTTTATTCTGATCAGTGTTTAGATGAGTCTCTTTTCAGATTGTTTTCTTTCTACTGTCAGCAGACGTGTTCATGTAACCCCATCTCAGAAGGGTAAATAGGAAAATATCTGTTGTTTTGAAACTGTGTGTTTAACCTTGAAAGTGTAGCGTCAAGTGTTAGAAACAAAGAGATGTTTATTTCAAGTTTCTGCATTTGGGGGATAAAGTTAGTATGATTGTTGTCAAAGATAAAAAAAAATTGAAATACCATTTAAGTCCCCTCTTCATTTAATTTCTCCTCACTCCTGATACAAATCCTCCTCTTTACCATTCAGATTAACATGGCCAGAGGAGGCGGTTGTTGTTCTGGAGGGTTAGGTTGTAGTGCTGTTAGTAATACTGGTAGTGACTGTGTTGGTGTTACTATCAGTAGAGGTGTACAGTCATAGCAGAACAGAGAGTAATAATAGCTCATTACAGACTCACATTCTCTGTTGTCTCATTACTCGTCTCTGCATTCCTGCATACCGTCGCTGTCTTGCCTCTAACAATAAATTCTGCAGCGTGTTCAAAAGTGCACTTCAAGTCAGACCGAGCTGCAGTGAAAACTCTGCGGAGAGAGATCCTGTAGCTGAAAACAGGAAGGTCATTAATCTTCGAGAGAAAGCGAGCCGACTCAAAAGTCACGGCACGAGGAAGCAGCCTCGGTGCTTCAGCTCTAAAGACAAGCAGCCAGCAAACACTGTTTAGCTGGTAATCTTTCTTTCTTTCTTTCTTTCTTTCTTTCTCAGTTTTTCCACCAGCTAGCAGCTTCATTTTACTAACTCCTCACTCCTATAGTCACATCCACTGAGTGGGAAAGAAAGAGTTTTCCCTTCCAAATTTTTCTTTGCTTTGTTTTTATCAGGGAAAAAGTCAGAACTACTTATTGAAAGTTAGGGTAATGATTTCAGTGAGGGTAGAGAAAAATGGATTCATTTCAACACTGGGGAAAATATTACTCTTAATTTAAATATTGATGAAAATAAACTAGAAAAAGTGCAGGGCTTTTTGCAAAACCATAAAATGCCTGTTGTTCAGTGCTGACACCTAAAACTTTAAGGGGGAGGGTCTATAAATAGAAGCTAACCTTTTGATACTGCAAAAAAAGGACTTTCAGAAACAGTCAGAACAATGGAAAAAGGAGAAAATGAATCAGAGTGGATAAAGAAAAGTCAGTTTCCAAATCTGTGTTTCCCAAACTGCTGATCAGACCATAGGCTCCAGAAAACATCAACAAAGTGACGTCACCAATTGTTTCTGACAAAGCAAAATGAAATTAGTCACTGCAGTGTTAATGTTAACTCAACTACTTTGGTTAACTTAGAGAAAGGTTAGGTAAAGAGGTGGAGCAGAGGCAGGCTTCTGACCCCATTACAAACAGCCACAGCATGACAACCTGTCAATCAAATCAACCTCAACCCCCACTGGTTTACGTCTATGTTCGACTCTTCACCTTTTTATCTTGAAAATAGAGGATTATAAGAATAGTAATGCCCACTTTACTGTGTATTGATAAAGAAATAAGCTATTCAATAGTTTTTGTTTTGAACAAGTTAGTAAACACGTTTCTACTGTAAAGTTGGCCATTTTACAAAGTTCTGCAGGTTTTTGTTCCTCTGCATCATTTTTCAACGCTGGAGGTTGCAGATAGGCTCAGAAAGGGGAATAGACGACTGAGTTTTAAGAAGTAGTTCATTTTTTCATGAGCTTATTTTGTGTTGTTATTTTGAGCATCGCAGAAACTTCAGAAAAATAAAATATTTACTGGCTTTGGCTCAAAAACAGTTATTGACCCTTCATTGAACAATGAGACAGACAAAAGTCCTAATTAGAGGCTAAGCATGGGCTGGTGTGAGATTCAAACTGTATGGTATTCTTAAGAAAATATATCACAGCTTGGTGTATCACAGTACTGCAACTACAGCTCAAAAATCTTTTATTTTGAAATGTCTGAGATATTTGGAACATAAGATAACATGCATACTAAGTTTTCATAAATAATTGTTTAATACATTTAATTTTTTTTTTGAAAAAGAAAGTTTAAGCCGACACCTCTGTGGCTGGTAATGAAAGTGCAACAACCTGCAGTTCCAAGAGTTTCCACTAGAGGCTGGTTTCAAAAGCCCTAAAAGTTCAATTGAGCCCAGTGTTAAATTGTGAAACATTTACAGCAAAAATAAGCATGTTTTCAGCCTGGTAAAAAGTGAATTAATGGTTTTAGGTTTGTAACCCATTTATGACTGTAGACACTGTACCACAGGTGACAACGCAATTACTAAGTTCAGATTATATTGAGGCAGACAGGGCTATTTGTGCAGCAACAGGGCGATTCAAAGTGCATCAGTAAACACATTAAAAGCATCATCAAAAAGGTCCAAAAAATAATTTAGAAAGAAAACATTAACAATCACTAAAAGTTGACATTTAAAGAACTTTCAGTTTGTGTTATTTGGGTCGCCCAAATTAGATCAAGACCGTTTGACAGTCAGGACTGTTTCTTGAGCTGCTGGACCAACACCACATTCCTTGCACCCATTTCAGACATTAAAAATTACAATACCAACATGTCGATGATGTTGTGTTTCTTGCTGCAATGGTGAAAATCTGCAAACACCTGCAAGCACAGTTTTTTTTTTTTTTAGCCTCTTGGCTGACCAAACTGTAGGAAAATACATTACACATGGGTGAAGGTCTTCTTTGCTCACAAATGTTTGTTTTGGCTAACACATTTCATTTTAATAAATGACTAAAGAGCTACATCAAATTTATTATTAACCATTGACATCAATTGTCAGATGTCGAGCTGACACTATCAGAGGGAAAGTAAGTAAATTCTTTATATTTTTATGGCTCTGAAATCGAAGGATTTTGACACTAAAAGACACTAAATTTGGCAACGTATAAGACTTGTAACAAGACTAAAGACTAATAACTCTAGCAATAAAAAAATCCCAACCATAACCATCATAAATAAAATCATAATACAATATAATATGAAAACA